CAATACGTTGGAAGTGGATACTACAACTCGTCACATTACCGGTGCAACACCAGTCCGTCTGAATGGCGTCCGTCGGAGCAATACGAGATTATCTTCTGCGGATAGTAACAGCTCCCTGGGCTCGAGCTCCTCATCTGATGAGGCTTCCTATAAAGTTATCGCTGTTTCGCAAACTGCTAGTGAGTTCTTCCAAAATTTTTCCATCTTTGCATTTATTTCGATTAATAGCACTTCGTCTCAGCCGTTATCATTTGTAGAAGCTACCGTGTGCCACACACCACTGCCCACCATCAGGGACTAGAAACTGCTTGAAATTCAAATTGTTTAGTGCAGTTTAGGCTGCATCGGTAATTCGAAAAGTTCTGGAAACAGTTTTTTATCAAAATCAAAAGAGTTCTTTTTTTTTTTTTGTAAAATTGGTTTGCATTATTTTTGAGAAAAGTTCAATTTTAAAGGAAATTGCATACAGGAGATTTCTGGATCGCACTAACAGTGTTCCATGGACGTTTGGTTGCATTCAGTTTCCAGTTATCCGAAGCCGAGAATGTCGTGAAAGCACAGGATGCCAAAGTTTCACCAAAGTCGCATTCTCCGCAACAACATTCGATTGTGGGCGAACAAGTAGAGCCGAGGTTTGAGCATTCCTTCTTTTTGGCAGGCACAGAAAATGAGTATTTTTTAGAGGTTTTTAATATATTTGTCACGTGGGGAAAATGCATTCTTCTTGCACGTATTCAAACCGGTATTGTGAAGAAATGTTTATTTTTTGATCGATATAGACGTAACTGTAGGTAATATTTTCCAAGACAGCAATTTTTGTCTGCATTCTTGCCACTGGTTTGTGGACACTTGACATCTCCTTTGTTTTCGGTGCGTTAATTTTCAGTTCTGCTTCCTTGTTTTATGTAAATAAAATTCAGGGTACTTGAGGATTTCGGCAATTTCGCATTTCCCACGGCTTGGACTGGCCATTACTTCAAAAATTATGTTTCGGCTTATCAAAGGCTGCCAAAAAAAGTTTTTTTCAATTTAACCAACTTCGGTCTCCCTTCTTGGGGATCGTCCACTTCTGATTTAGCCTTCTAATGTCTGTTACTTATCATATCACAGCATTTCATTCATTTCAAGATTGTTACTCGCAGTAAGAACTGTATATCGTTTTGAATAATCATTGTTTTTAGGTTTTTTTTGATGTGAGTTTTTCAATTAATAATTGTAAAATTTCGATTATTCGTAATTTTACTCATGATTTTTATTGCTTATTTAGATGGGTAGCACGTTTTGTTTGCAGATTGTTGCCTTTGTTAAACAGTTCGCGAACTCCGCTGGCACAGATGAACAGTGCTCGATGCTCTGTTGGTGCTGCTTTTGTCGATGGCAAAATTATTGTCTGTGGTAAGTGCTCTGCCCACATCTCTGAGCCTGTTTTCCAAAGATGTGTTCTTCACTAATATTGTATGCTGTGGTCCTTCCAGCAACATCGATTTGATCGTTTCGGCTTTCTCACAAAATAGGCACCTATATAAACATCTTTTCTTTCCCCCAACCACTTCCTTCTTGTGTCCCTCTACCACTGGTCACTACTAGTCGCTACAATTACGGATTAATCATTACCTCCATTCTCATCAATTTCCTTTAAAAAAAAAAACCCAGTTCTCACCCTTCCCATTCAACACCTCACATACACATGCAATTTTTGGTCATTCCCCCAATCAACAGTTTAACTTAATTACATTTAGCATGCTTCATTTTATTTTATCACCATCAATGCAGCGCTATTTTGTTTGATTTCAAGCACGTGGCATTATTGACCTTCACGTTGACATTCTAGTCACTCTCTGCTTGTTGGCTGTATCTTTTAACATCAAGTAGATGCCATTCTGGAGCTCTGTATTTTTCTGGCCAATTAACCAACTAAATTAGCTCGTCCCATTTGACGCACTGCTGTTGCTTTTACTGAATTATTCCTTGATGTGACCTAAATACTGTTCAGAGAAAACATTCCTGCTGCAAAAAGTTAATTTCACATATTACCGTCAGCTCTGTGTCCAAATTCGTTGTCTCCCCACAAAAGAGGAATACCGCAGGAGTTTGGGCATTAACTTTTTAAAAACTTCAGCGCAGTTGGCTAAGGTTTTGAAGCGTTGCAGATAGAAACAGTTTTTTGTTGTATCTCGTATGAATTTGTGTGCGACGTTAAACATTAATAATGCTAAGAAATGTATACGACTTAATGGACCGCAGCATTTCTTATCATCATAAAATAATTTTACCGATTTCGTAATTCTCATTTCTTACCTTCTTTTTTGATTCTTATTTTTCTTATTTTCTTATTATTATATTATTATGTTATTATTATATTCTTGTTATTATATTATTATTATTATTTTCTTTTTTTTCTATTTTCTTATTATATTATTATATTATTATATTATTATTGTATTATTATTATATTGTTACTGTATTATTATATTATTATTACATTGTTATTATATTTTCATTATTATATTCTTATTCTTTTCTTATTTTTCTTATTCTTATTTGATTTTTCCCATTATCGATTTACATAGAGCTAATATTCGTTCTTAATTCAGTTCGGAAATCTATGGAACAATGTGCAAATTTCAGGTGGATATGATCGTGGGAAGTGCTTGAAGTCGGTGGAAGAATATGATCTTGCAACGGGTGGATGGCGTCGCCTGCCTGATATGATGCACAATCGAGGGCGTTTTGATGCTGCCGTTGTGGCAGGCAGAGTTTACGCAGTTGCTGGTGCTTTCTTGCTCTAATTTATCATTTTATTGAGTAAGCAGTTTTTTGAAAGCAGTTTTCAATTATACATGTGTTTTTTCCTTGACAAAAAGACAGGAATTTTATTATGAACTTTATATTTTATATTAGGCTGAACACTCTGTGAATTTTTTTTCTTTTTTCACTTTTTTCTTCCACGGATTTTAACACGCTAACCAGAATAATAGTTTTAAAGGGAGCAGTGGAAGCGTTGATTTGAAAAGCGTTGAATGTTACGATCCACAAACCGAGAAATGGTCCGCGGTGAAGCCATTGCAACAGGCACGCAGCCATAATGGTTGGTGTTTATGCATTTTGTGCTTTGTAGCAGCAGTACAAAACGAATATTGTCACGGGGTTGTTGTGAGTGTGTGTGTGTGTGTGTGATTGTGTGTGTGTGCACGCAGCAACTTGTCCGGTAACCACAAAAGCTAGAAAGCTGAAATTTTTGGGGAATTTTCCCCACCCAACCATAACTCCGCAAGTTTAAATTCAGCCTCCCCGTACCCCGCAAGTAACACGTACGATCCCATGAAAGTTCTGGCAGGGAAAATTATTATCTCGGAAAACACGGAAGCTAGGGAGCTGAAATTTTATGGGCATGCCCCTGCCTAAATTCGATCCAAAAAACTTAAATTCAGCCTTCCTGTACCCGTAGGCTCCCGTGAAATTTTTGACGGGCGAACTATTACCACGACAACCGCGGGGTCTAAAAGGCTGAGATTTTAGGGGACTGTTCCCTGCTCATGCGCAGCTCCTTAAATTTAAATTAAAAGCAGTGGAAATCATTAGCAGGCAATCGTTTGGTGGATAGAATTGCACAAAACTCATGATCGCACGGCTGCCCTGATGCGCGTTGCTATTTATTCAAGCATGAATATTCCTACGGTTTCCTCCCCGTAGTCAGCGCGACCCACCAAGGATGATGCAAGGGAGACATTGCTGGGTCGCGCTGACTACGGCACTCTATTCCTTCTCTTCTCCCTTTTTCCTCTCCTTCTTTTTCCACCTTTCTTTCTTTTTTCCCCCTTTTCCTTTTATATTCCTTCCTTTCCTCCTTATCCCTGAACACCACGACCGTCATACTGACAAGGTCCAGTCGTAGTGTTGAGCTAAGACATATATGACTTAATGGACCGAAATGTCTTAACTTTTTTTCCTTCTGTTTTCCTCCTACTATTTTTTCCTCTTTATATACATTTCCCTTACTTTGACACCCACCAACGTGGATGCTACAAACGGCATAAAAACGGCTGGCCAGTCCAGCACATGAGGGTTTGCGTTAAATTATTCGAAATGGGAGAAGGATGTGTATTCTGTGTTTCAGGCTGCGCAACTCTCGATGGGTTTATATACTGCATCGGAGGTTGCTGTGAGCAGAGTGTTCTAGGCAAATGCGAAAGGTATCAGCCGGAGCGCGACGATGACCAGTGGACAGCATTA